TTGATGTGCTGTTCCAGTCAGTTTTGGATAGTTTTCAGCAGAAACTTGCTCGCATGTGATATTATTGATATTGTTCAATAATTTCCGCAGTCTGTTGGATCACCTTCCTTTGGAATGGGAATAAATAAAGATCTCTTCCGGTCAATTGGCCAAGTGATTGTCTTCCAGATTTCATGGCACAACTTAGTGAGCATATCTAAGGAAGCATCTGTTAGTTGAAATATGTCAGTTGGTATAGCATGGGGCCTTATTTTTTGCCAGTTCTTTCAAACCAACTTGAACTTCTTCCTTCATCACCACTAGCTCTTGCTCATATGTTGTTTCATGAAATTCTTCTGTGTCTTTGACTCTGTATACTCTTTCTATCTTCTTTTAATACTTCCTGGATCATTCAGTATTCTGCCCAAAGCATCCTTAAGTATTGTAACTTGAGGTTTGAATTTGTTCTTCAGTTCCTTCAGCTTAAGAAATGCTGGGTTAATTTGGCCCTTTTGATTTTCTGACTCCAGCTCCTTGCCCATTTCATTGTAATTCTTACTTTGTCTTTCCACGCTGCCTTTTGAAATCTTCTGTTCAGCTCTTTAATATCTTGATTTCTTCCCTCTGCTTTGGCTTCTTGGCATGCTTGTGCAATGTTCATTGTCTCTTCTGTCATCTATTTTGGTCTTTTCTTCCTCCTATGTCTTTGTAATGTTCTTTTGCACTCTTCCTGGATGATGATATTCTTGATAAACCTGCCTCGCAAGTTCTTTTGCTTGAGTTTTCCCTAGATAAGAATGCCATGTTTTCATTCATTTTTCTGAGCAAGTCCTCTTCTCCTGAGTTCCTTATTCTCTTTTAGGTATATCTGTTGTTGTGCATGTGGAGTCTTGTAGCTGACCCTCCAGTGGGTTTTCAGAGGCTGTAACTTGGCTTAGAATGAGATGGCCTATCTTTCTCCTGTGGAGCAGCTGGTGGATTGAACTGCTTATATTAGCAATTTAACTCTTTTATCATAGGCCACTAGAGCACCCAGTACCGAAGTATTATGATAGTATCAGAATTACTCCCATAATTTTAGAAGAAAGAATAATATCCAGAGACTTTTTTAAAGCACCATATTACTAACATGGACATGATAAAAACCCCAAGAACCCAACCAACCAACCAAAAAACAAACAAACAAACAAAAAACCCACTTTCCAAAAATCAGCAAAGAAAAAGAGAATTGAGTCTTTGTATTCTCTCTAGTAAATACAAATCTAACTTTGGTTTTATCTTCACTAGACAAACAACAGAAAGGTGAATTTGCAATCGATGGTTACAGTGTCAGAATGAATAACACCCTTAGGAAGGATGCAAAGAAAGACTGCTGTTTTGAAATCTCTGCTCCTGATAAGCGTGTCTATCAGGTTGGAGTTTTTATGTTGCCTTGAAATTAAGTTGATAAAATGTTCTGATTTCATTTATAAAGACATTAACATTTTGTTAAAACAATTCTTCCTGACATGTTAATAGTAATAAAAAATACTGGTCTTATCCACTGAGCACTCATATAAGAGGAAATACATTTTTAAATGTTTCAGATTAGTGGAAGTGATAGCTTCTTGAAAAGGAACAAGTGGATATGTCATTTATCAATTATTCTGAATGTTGCGTTTTAGATCTATTTTAATAGAACTGTGTGATTTTCTAAAAGAATTACATAGTAGAAAGAGTAAGATGATCAAAAGAAAAATATCAGAGTGTTAATGCATATTGTATTGCTTAGGGGTGCAGAGAAAATGAGAGTAAAGGCATGTATGGGCTCTGCAATTCAAGAGCTATCAGCTAGGCATCAATATGGAATGTATGTTTAATAAGTTTTAAATATCTGAGATTGCGGTTGAAAGCCAGTTAATTAAGTTGTCAGGTAGTGTGTTGGAATCTGACAAGAACATTTTTAAGAAAACTGTACCCAGCAGTCTAAAGAAATTCATGGGTGTCTTCTAATTGTCAAGGGCAAATTTCGTTCATCAGTTCTGTCTTTGACATTGATGAAGAGAAGCAGTTTTTTTTCCTGCACAGCTGCCAGCTGCTGATCAGAGATTCAAATCCATCATCCTCTGCTTCAATTACGTAAATTTGTCAAAATTAACTGTACATTATAAGAAGCATCCTTGCAAGAAAAGTACCACTAGACATGAAAAGAATTACTAATGGTCTTGAAGAAATGAAAAGAATGTTACATGCCTTCCATTCCTACTGTGGTGATTTTGTGTGTTATTGTTTGTTTTTTTTAATAGTTCACAGCAGCTTCTCCCAAAGATGCTGAAGAATGGGTACAGCAGCTGAAATTTGTATTACAAGGTAAGAGCAATCAATTAAATAAAGAAGCATAGTCTTTAAATACTGAATAACTGGGTACATGGGGTTTTTATGTATAAAAACCTATTGACTTTTGAAAATGATCAGGGAAATAAGGCTGGCATTAACAAAGATCCTTCAGTTGAGATGTGTAACAGTACCTCATGCATACTTAATCAGGTGGCAACTTCAAAATGTTTATTTCAGTCCATTTTTAAAATGTTTTAAATTGTGGACTTAACAAAGTGACAATGTTGCTGTTGGTTTGTAGGGTTCCATTAATTTAGAAAATACTATTTAATTTTTTTTTTTTTTTGTATCTTCTTAAAATTGACTCTTGTAACGTGTTTGGTAGACATGGGATCTGATGTTATTCCTGAAGATGATGATGAAAGAGGAGAGGTATATGATGATGTTGACCATCCTCTACCAATCAGCAGTCCACCAACAAGCAGTCAACCAATAGACGATGAAATTTACGAAGAGCTTCCAGGTATTTTTCTCTGGTGGTTCTATTTGGGACTTTTAGTACTTTTTTTTTTTTGCGTATTGTATGTCACCAGGCTGATAGCATGAGTCGAAAGCAGTGAACTAGTAAGAACAAGGACAAAGAACATCTTCAAAACTCTTAGGAAAATGGCTCTGCTTGAGGTATTTCAAGGGAGTGGATGTACATGTATGAGGAGTGAACGGAATGTTAAAGTCATGCAGATACAGTCCTCATCTCTCGGGACTTTTGGCTCATTAGCATTGTTTATGCTACATAATTTTTTAATTAAAAAATTGACTTGCCTTACAGTTTTTTCCACCAACTCACACATCATTTTTTATTTATACATCTTGGAATTCCATTAACCAGAATTTCTGTGAACACCCCATATGCCATCAACTTCTGTGTTCCTCACTGCAAGTGTATTACATTGTCTTGGGAAAACATTGAATTATAAACAAAGCTTTGTTGAGGCTTGAAGCTTTCTTATTTGAGATTTTAGCATCTGAATGGAACTCTCAGTGTTTTTCTGTAAATTGCCAGGCATGGTCTGGCTTACCTCAGTATCTGTCATATAAAATAAAATCAGTTGTTGATTAGTTATTTGTAGTTTTGAGTGCAAATTTAAGTTATTGAAGGATAAAGCATCTGAAATTAGTATGTGCATGAATAGGGGCATTTGAATCTGAAAATATTTAAGGAATTATTAGACTACAAATACTCTAGGTTAAAATAAACTTTTTTCTGGTTATTAAAAAAGTCCGTAAGTTACAGAAGGAAAAAGAATTATAAGTAATATAAGGAGATTTACTAACATTTTATATAGAGAAGCTATTTTTATTTGAAAAGAACAATTTAATGGCATAATCCAAACCTTTAAAACTGGCTTCAAAATTACTTAAAATGTTTCAAGTTCAATATGCAGATGCCATTTTTCAGTGCAGTCAGCAGAACATTGTAAGTAGATGGATGTTAGAGTAAAAAAGTTAAAATTCGGGTTATACTACTGACTGTTTTAGTAATTTTAAGACCCTCTTTCTTCATCCATAAAATGAGGATAACACTGAGGAATGAACGAGATAGTATATTTAAATCTCTCACTGCAGTGTTCAATTATGACAAGTATGAAAGAAACTTTATCATTATCATTTTCATCATTGTATCTGGTAAACTCATACAAGTGCATATTATTATGGCAATATAATAATAGTTTTCTGACCAAATAAGAATTAATAAAGGTAGCAGTATTATAAAATCAATACATTTAAAAACAAAACCTACTCAAGATAAGTATTTCTGTATTACCATCTTTTATTACTCTACAAGAAGGTGATAAGAATAGAGGTATAATTTTGTGAGAAAATAGTATTCCGTGTATTTATACTACTTTATTCAAGTTCTGTTTATTAGGTCCTTTCTATAAGGAAATAGCACATGGTGTGGTACCAGTTTTACTAAAATAGTGAAGAATATTCTTCGGCTACTAGTTTTTAGTCATACCACATCATTAGCAATACAATTCGTGTTTGACATGTTCAGGATAACTTGCAAGAGTGTATACATTAGTATAGTAGTGTAATAGAAGTGTGGCATACCTTTAATTATGATCTTTAGGTCTAATAACTTTTTTCTCCTTCAAATTTACACAATAAGCATTATCTTAAATTTTTCGGACTATAAATTAAATCCTATATTTCTTAAGCTCAGACATCCTCTCCCTTCAGCCTGCCTACCTTCCAAAAAAAAAAGATCAGAAAAGATTAAATATAGTAATTTTCATAACAAAGGCCTGAGGAGGAGTCTCATAACTAGCTTGAAATCTTAAAAATATGAAATATTTTTTATTTTTCTCACTGCAGCTGCTCTTCATCACTTCGTAACTACTTCCCCCAATCCCCACCTCTAGGCTCACATCATTATTAGAAATACTTGTTCCTCTTTATGCTGTCTCACTTTTTGTGGTGTTACTGGGTGAAATTGAAGCTGCTCTGGGGTTCCTTGGCCCTGCTCAGGAGCCCCGTTGCTGTACAGTGATTGAGCTTGAAAGAGCCCGCAGCTGCGCCCCCGGGAAGGCAGCGGTGCTGAGCAGCTGTGGAATGTCTAGTTCCCCTTTCTTCCCCTGTGTAACGCAGAGCCACTGCAACATCTGCAGGGTTCAGCAAGTTTTTCCAGTTTGACCCAGCCAACAGCTCTGGGGGAGATTTTTTGTTTCTCAGGGAAGGCCTTACAGTTGTTTTGTTAAATGTTTTATTTTAAAATAAAAAAACCCTAAAACTAGAAATATAATTTTTATTTTTTAAAAAATGATATCTTTTTCAGAATTTCACTTCCTTGGGGAAAAATATATTGGGAAGTAGATATTGAGAATATAGAAAAATCTCTAGAATATTTTATCAGTTAGTAGTAATTTTTTTCCCCCGTTTTCTACAAAAGAACTATATATCTCTTAAAGTCTGACTGGTTAAAACCCAAGAATTAAGACTTCCATTTTAGTGCAATTTTCTGCCAGTGTAATTGAAAAACCAAGTCTCTCCGTTGTAATTGAAAGCATTCGAAAGTGTTTGAAGAAAAATGTAAGTATTCCATATGTACTTTAAACCACAAAGCACTTCCTAAACCAAGTTTAGAATAAATCTCTTACTCTAATATAAGTGTATTTTGTTATTGAAATGTAAAATAAACCTGAGGTATTTAAATCTCTTAAGAGGAAGAAAACACTGTTTAAAAAGTTGTAAAATATCCCCTAAAATTTTTTTCTATTTATAAAGGAGTATAAATAGCTACATTGTAATTGTTTTTGCCCATTAGAATATTCTATCTTTATTACAGCACTTTCTCTTTAATTTCTTGCTCATTAATTTTTAACTAACTTCACGAAATTTAAAATAATAAATTTTGAAATTTCTTTGCATGTGTAGAGAAGAGTTTAGTCAGTATCATTTCTGGAGAGTAATAGAGGTATTTGATTTTTCTTCACATACGCTAATGCTTTGACTTGTTTGTATATCTCAGTACTTACTAGCATAGGCCAGTCAGGCTTGCTTATATTGTAATATTTAACACATTTGTATTTGTACAGCTGATGTTTTGATCAGAGCGTGCTAAACTCTATCATAAGACAGTAATGAGTACATTTGGCTTAGCATAAATTTTAGAATTTATTAGGCATTATTTTTCCCTCGGAAACATGGAGCAACAGTATTTTTGTTAGATTTTGAGTTTTGTAAAAGGAAAGCAATCTTTGAAACCTTGTAGAAATCAAAGTTCTTCCAATTAAATGTCAAATGGTTTTTGTTTTGTTGAAAAAAATTGTGCAGGTAAGAAAAGAGGATTTTTCTAGCTGTTAATTTAATAGGATCAGCTGATCAAGAATGGTTTAAGCCGAGCTTCCAGGGGATCACATTTGAAATGCCTTCTGTAAAGAGGACTGGACGAGAGGGCAACAGGAAGCGGAAAACTAACTTTTGATTCAATTATTTTTAAAGTGAAAACGCGTTTGGTTTTTTGTTGTTTTTGAGGTTTTGTTTGTTTGTTT